AATTGTGGGAAAATGGGCTTCTTTTATTCGCAAATCGAGTTGTTTAAAAGGGGTCAGAATAATATGAAGCTCACATATTTGAACTGTTTGTATAATTAATCAATGCCAGTTTGCCAATTAAATTAAATGAAATTGTACAGACAGTGAAAGTTTCAATACATTTGTGAAATTGTTGACATTGAAGGAGATTCCATAAATAGAATTTCATCCCTTCGTTGATCAAGAGTTTTTTTTATTTTTCTGAAATATGAATAACTTGACAGAGCATTCTCTTTAGTAAAATTTCAAGGTGAATTGCATTGAAAAAATTGATAAAATATCTAATTTAAGTACTGGATGATAATAATATTCCCCCCACCTCAATGTAGTGATGTAGTCACGGCCACCAAAACTGAGACCAAGTCATTACCAAGACCTGAGTATATCAAGACTGAGTCAAGACCAAGACCAATGCAGGGCAAGACCAAGGCAAGACCAAGATGAAGGCAGGGCGAGACCGAGACAAGACCAAGGCAGGGTGAGACTGAGACAAGACTAAGAGCAAGAGAGGGCAAGACCGAGACAAGACGAAGGCAAGGTGAGAACGAAACAAGACCAAGACGAAGGCAGGGTGAGACCGAGACAAGACCAAGGCAGGATGAGACTGAATTAAGACCAAGACCAAGGCAGGGTGAGACCGAGACAAGACCAAGGCAGGGCAAGACCGAGACGCTTCGGATGAACGATGCGTTCACATTACAGTCAGATACAGGTCACTTGTAGGCTACTTATGAATGTGAACCGTCAAGATAGGCAAATCCGATCTGAGCAAAAAATTTAGCGATGTGGCTGGCAGTGTGAACGTAGCCTCAGTGTCTCATCTAATATGAAAATATAACAGGCACTACAAATATGTTATAATTGTTGAGATTAGAGTCTTCATGATGTGGGAATGCAGGGCTATAACTGCAGGACCATTCTATGGCTTAGTATTGTGAAACGAATATCTTTGGTTTTACATCCATTTGTTAACTTGTTGAAGTTATCTGATGGACAGCAATGCATGGTTTTATTTTTTTATTACTTTGTAATATCTGAATGAAATTGAAATAGAAAAGCATGCATTGTTTAGTTTATGGAAAATTGGATAAACACACACATAACAGTCGGTTTTTGGAGTCCAATGCTGAATATTTATCGCTTTCGTTTTTACGCATATATGCGCTATAGGATTGGTGAAGTGAAATTTGAGAAGCAAACTTTTAGTCGGCATTTTCGACTCAAACAATAAACCAGTGCTGTGGCACGTCATTGTGTTTACATGTACTGTAGGAGGTGTTACAATTATATTCTATTTCAACACTGACGGAGCTCGACATCAAACATACATATACAAACATAAATATTGCGAAAAAATCATGTAATCGTCTTCTTAATAAATAGACTGCTGCGTTTTGTTGTTATTTCTAGTAGAACTCCAGCCCATTCTTGAGTCTTTTTCTATCCCTTTGTTATACTGTATAGGCTTATAAAAAAATTAATTATATATTTTTTTTCTTAGAAGGGTAGTGCGTGGATCATTTCCATATAATGTGAATTATGTCAACGATTTATGGATTATTAGGGGTACATTTTCGTGGAAAATGTAAAAAATATATGGCTCGATCATTGCATACAGGATTACTCTGGAATATTTTAGCACACAACGTTGCAACTTGGACGACCGGATCGAGTAAGTTTTCTCTTTTGCAAACGATTCATGTCTGCTTTATACCTATCCGAATTAAGTTACGAGCCTGACGTTAATGGGGGCGAAAATCACAATTTAGCATTTGTCAGGTTCTAAGGGTTAATAAACAGATGAATATTAAGCCGCTGTGATAAATATTGAGGCGTTTTGATGAATGGTCTTGACTGATCTGAGTCTTCTATGTATGTCCGAGACCGATAAAAGACCACGTCAAAATCAAGTACATTCCGAGACGCAAAAAAATTGGTCTCGAGACAAAGACCGGCCTCGAGTACTACAACACTACTTCAATGAAGTATAAGACCTTTCTCGTTCAAGTTTATAATATTGTTTTTTTTTTGTTTTTTTTAATCCTGTGTCCATGTCTCAGTAAGTAGGCTGCCCACATTCGGCTAAAACTTTCCTCAGTACTATAATTATTATTATTGCTGTACTCTCCTCAAAACTCTTTGAAAGCATGATACACCAAGCTGTGGGGAAATAACCTGAACATGCAATTTGGGAAAGTCAAGAAATCTAATCCAGATTTGGATGTTTCCTCTTTTAAGGGAGAAATGGCAAAGGGGGGAAATCACACACTAAAAAAGGGAAAATAAAACATTTGCCAAGGAATTATTGGTGGGAACAGGAAAACAAACACTGCAGGCAATAGGGACTGACACACCTCCCTCAGGGTCAGGCTTACTGGGACACAAAGAATACACTAAACATGGGAGGAATGATGAAGTAATCCAAGCGGTCACCTGACTTAGCTCCCCAGGACAGATGTTGCCCCCCGGTCTACACACCACAGCGGAGAAAATACCTGCTCCACTAATGTTAATTACGGTAATTACTTTAAAGGTCACTGATTTTTTGTGAGTCAAACTCAAGGCTGGATTTAGCCTGTCTGGTGAGCATCCTTTTTTAATTTGTCAATGTTATTGTTTGTGAAGATGTCCTTCGCTGGAGACATTTCATTTACTGATTGATTTATTTTAATGCTAGAAGAGTCATTACAGTTTCACACAGCAAAGACGAAAAAGGTTAGAAAAGTCACAGGGCCCAAATGACCTCATGTCAGAGTTGTTAAACTTGGTTCTCTGAGAAGCTGAATTTGTGGTCCAATTAACCCACTTCTGCCTTGGCATCTCTGTGACTTCCTGGTATGAAGTCGTAACAGCTGGAAATGTCAAGCATTCATAGAATTAAAACAGACAAACTAGCGTTGAGAGCAAAACTATGAAACTGGATAGCTGGATGCTTTAAAATGCGATGTTCACAGTGGGAGCAAACTCATAAACCAAATTTGCAAGATCCAGATGTCTTGCATACAAATGACTTACATGTATATTATAAAAAGCAATGTGTATATTGAATGAATGGAATAATAAAGTTTCTCATTTCTTATAGCTGCACTAGCTGTTAGTTGCTAAAAGTCTGAGCCTCTTAATGGACAACAAACAATAAGCCAGCCTTCTCAGGGAGTCAACAGTCATCCATTACGCTCATTAAAATGACATAGCAGGGACTGTCAATAGCATACACAGCCGGCCTTAATGATTAGTGGAAGAATTCTGCGACCAGCAAATTCTGATTACCTTTGTGTCTATAGCAGAGTGGTTTCATTTACAGACTTTTACTTCAGTTCCTTCCTTCAGCACAGATAATGCTGTTGTATAATGTGTATATTCCTGCAGCCTCTGACCCCTGAGCACATGGACATTTCTTTCTAGAAAACTGAACGACTGTATGAATCAGGGTTATTCAACTCGAGGTCCGAGCACTGCTGGTTTTCCAGCCTTCCTTTACCTGTCAGTCAGGTGTGAAGCCTCTGACCAATCAGAATCAGTCATTATTAAACAACTACCTGGGAGAACTGAAAACACGGCCTGGATTTGGAATCGAGGTCCAGAGTTGAAGAACCCTGGTATAAATGTTAGTTTCCAAAATGACAAACTGTGTATTAAGACTTAGTACTCAGACCCAAGCACTGCTTTAGCATGTCTGACTCTACATACATTCCAAAGCATTTAAATGACCATTAGAAGACATCATTAGAAGACAATATCACTAGGTAAGGGAATACCTTCCCTTGTGATGAGGCAGGATCCATGTGCTCTGTCTTGTTAATCATTCATATGTTACTACAACAATTCATTACAATGCTGTTGAAACTAGATACAGTTTGATATAACATGCTATTTGTAATGGTTCTCTGGCTCTGTCTACACTTTATATGTAAAAATGATATCAACAAAGGGAAACACTTTACTTCAGGGGGCACAAATAATGTAGTGCACTTTTGTTAATGATTTGTACATGAGTAGTCACTGAGTTACTAAGTTAATTGTGCCCCTCAAGTAAATTGTTACCGATGAAAAATAGTGTGTCACATTGTGGTCATATGCATGCTTTCCTTTGCCCCCCTTTAGCCCCGCCCCTCTGCCGTTTCATTGGCTGCCTGCTGGTTCCTCACCATGAGCCTGGCCATTCACATCTTCTGCATAATGCATGCACTTCTCCTCATACCAAAAATACCAAAAAAAAATCCCAACAGGTCTTAACATTTCATTTGAGTGCCTGACTGTTGAAAAACAAAAAAAAATGATTTGCTAACATACCTGTATTGCTGCATGCAGACATGTATTGCTGCATTGTTCTGCAATGCGTGTGTGGGGGCATGCATGCATATGTGCTGGTGTGTGGGGTTTGCACACCACAGGTGGGCAAGATGGCTGGCCAGTAAGGCCTGGTGATTTTCCTGCTGCATATTTAGATTGCAGAGCACATCACTAATACAGTTCCATTTATTGCATTATACCATACTCTGCTGCCAGTGCCATTTTCTTACTGAACATTACAGTATGTAGAATTGCTGAATTGCCCCTGGTGAGTATGATGGGAAGCTACTTTGTCCGCTGTGTTTCCTGGGATAGGTTGATAGTCTGAGTCCTCACCCACGCACTACCTGCTGTGCCAGTTGTAGTATGTGTTATTAAGTCCCTTCTCGGTCTTTCCATATATGCAGCCCTGGGGCCTCAAAAAGCCCCCCCACCCCCACCCCTAATCACAACCCCCATTCCCCCCCAGTTGTATGGGACCTCGAATAACCGAAATATCCCAGGAGCCTCTGACCAGTTAGTGTGCCCTGCATATACGGCCTATGAAATCTTGTCAGACACAAAATGTTGTACACATTTGTGAATAGTAATCATTGTCATCATTACTTTGCCCATTTCATTACATCTGCCTTTTCTGGCCTCTTTCATGTATAAACACACTGTCTAAATTTACATTGTAATACAATTTATCCCTGACTTTCAAATTCCATGGAGAATCAGCTACATTTGTTAATGTCATAAAAAAAAAGATAAATCAAATTCTAACTCCATTTATAAAAATCGATCTTGGTTCTTTCCTCTACCTGCTGTGCAATGACCTAATGATAAAAATAGGACATCAACCGTCACCATCTCACCGTTATCCAATCTGCCCAACAAACACAACATTCAAAAACGTTTAGACAGCTTCACTAAGCATTTTGTTTCTTTTCTGTTATAACTATTACTTTATTAAATGAAGGTTATTTGCAGGATGCAAGTGTTAAAATATATAAATACATAAAACATAACAATAAAATATCTAAAGGCAGCAGGCTGTCATGCCCTATAAGGACCATGGGCATGTCGGTTTTTATTCTGCATTCAAGTGGTGAAATAAAGTCAAAATTAAAAAAAACACACGAATTGCCCAATTGGAGTCTGTAATCCTGTCTGGGGCGTCCCCTGCCTTGTGGCGGGAAATGGATAGACAATGTTCACCTGAAGGAATTTACTTCCCACTGTCATAAAAATGAAGGAATTCACAAAGTGTAACGTGAAAATGCTGGACACACAGCCCCCAATTCACCACACGGTTGTGTGTATGTATCTGTGTATATAATGTCCATTGTGGGATGCTTGGAATACAGTCCACTGTCATCTTAATTGTCATTTCCATGCATGCTTCAGGCAAGTTTCTGATGTCCACAGCGTGTAACCCATTGTAGAATACCTACATTGCTGAATTTTTTTGTCATCTAAAAAAAAGTGTTAATTACAGCAAATATATTATAATAAAAGCATGCAGTTAATCATTTTAGGGCCACGAATTCAAGTTATTCCTGTGTCTGCACTGTAATTACAGGAACCTGAATTTAACTATAAATGTGGTAAGGAGATTATTTCTAGCTAGCCGTGGTAGGTAAAAATGGTATTTTATAAATGAGTTGCTTGTTGGGGAGGGCATGAATACTGTGGAAATGCCGCTGGAATTGGGCATATGGCCGCTGTACATTAACGGCAGGAGTCGATGGACCAGCCAAGCTCCTTGAGGAAGCTCTTCTTGCCCCGGTTCACCTGCCCAAACTGATCCAGCTGCATCTCAGGCACTGCAGAACGCCAGCCAATGAAAGCCTGCGTTGTCTGGGGAACGGGGGGAGACGGCGTCACCTGCGGGGCAAAGCAGCATCACAGCCAGGAACAGAGCTGGGCCTCAACATAAAGCACAACTAGGCTGGAGAGGGAAACATACAGAGGTCACCGGGAACAGAGCAGCCATATTAACTGTAAAATTATTTATAGAATGTACTTGTCGAGGGAAAATAAATCAGCGGCATGTAGGACCCTGAGGGCACTCTGCTGAAAGTGATAACCTTGATATATGTCTCAGGCGGGGTGGGAAGGTGTGTCCTCAAATGTTGTTGAAGCTCCAGTTTCTCCATGTCTTCTCTCACCCTGTTGCCCTCTGTTAGCACCTGAAACCGGGCAAAATATGATAAAGCCACTATATATTTCCTGGAAACTCTTCAAGGGGACAGACTTCAAAGTTTTTTTTCACCCTCTAACCCTTTCCTGCAGCACGTTTCACACTGTCACCGCACACCAGTGGCTCTGGAAGATGCTAAAGGCTTCTGAAGTTCCAAATACTTCATTTTCATAACCTTTCAGTTTTTATAAGCTTTACTGTGCTTTTTGAGGACTAATACATGTGTGTTGCTAATGCCATTTTCCATACTTAACAGGCATATTCATGCAAAGTGACATGGATATTTTTAGAGGAAGCAGGGTGAGATGGCCCCTGGAGGTTCGAGGCCATGCTTAAGGGCCCAACGGTGAAATCTCACTGTCAACCCTGGGATTTGAACTGCTGACTTACTGATCACACTAACCTGCTGCGCCATGCACTGCCCCATAACATGAGCTTTATAAACACATATCCAGTCATGATTACAGTGATGTAAACCGTATGCCGGGAAACACAGGGCATGAGAAAGAGTGATGAAGGAAATAAATTGATCCAGAGGAGACCAACATTCTCTCTCTCTCTCTCACACACACACACACACACGCGCGCGCGCGCGCGCGCACACTCAACTGGAAGCAGACACGGATGCTTGATTTTAGCGATACCGGGCAACATCATTACTCGCAGAGCTACCGCCCATAAAGGGCACCAGACCGAAAACAGCAGGACATAAAATAACAGACATTTTATCTGTTTACCTCACTGTAGGACTCTTTCAGAAAACCCCATTTACTTGGCCAAGCTTTGGCTGATTCAAGTTCAATATTAACATGAACTCTCCTGAAACAGAAAGGCGGAATAAATGCTGATATCGGTACTTCTTATTAATCGTTACTTATTTGTAAAAGAAGGTAAGAACCCAACTGTTTTGAAAACGCAAAGCATGTGATGTGTCTAAAGAAACGAGAAACAATGAATTGGGTAACTCTAACTCTGTTGCTGACTTTAAGTTTTTTACGTTTTCACAGCCTCCACGAATGTTTCTAGTGATCACATAACATTAAATATATATCTGTTAAAAACATTATCCTTTCCAATAACGAATTACATTGTCAGACTAACTGATTGCAGCTGTGACCGTAACGAAACTAAAAATCAGTTGTAGCCCTATTAAGTAGGCTATTGCTTGTTGTTCTAGTGGAAAGTATGAAACAATTTAAAAACATAGCTGTTAATACTACCCTTTCCTATATAATATTTAACTGGTATGTTCTCAGTGGATATTGAATGTTTAGTATATAGTACTTATTACAAGATGCAGTTGTAATAATTGTGCGTTCAAATTAAATGCACGCATACAGTGTAAATGTGCAGCGATATTTATGGCTTAGGAAAAGAAGCATTTACCAGATTTGATCCTGGTCTACAAAGTTGCACGGCTTGTCGCGCGTTTTCTCAGTAGCCATGTAAAGCCTGCTTGCTGTCTCTCTCTGCACCCGTGTAGGCTGGCTGGTATTTATACGGTCACCACGACAACACTGCATCGTGACAGTGTTCCTTGTTACTGTGTTACCGAGTTTGCCCGATGACTTTATTTATAAACTAGTCTACTATAATACTTAGACACTCACTCAAAGTATTGGGAATGTATACCGCTATTTTAAAAGTAAAATGTCTTAAATATAGTCTATGTATACGGAGCGCTTTAACATACTGGTGCACATGTGCGTGTGTATATATTTTGTAAAAGCATTTATATACGTTTATCTGCAATAAACAAAAAAGAATTATGATATAAATATGAAATTGCGTTTCCTTATTTTTCAAGACGTTCAACTGTTGTCTGCACAGCTAATCACTAATCTCAATTATTACTAAAAGTTTATCGTAGGCCTAAGTATCATTACAGAAATGTATAGAAACAGTATTATGTCGTTAATAATCAGCCTCCATACTCCGGATCAGTCTATACCCCCAGCCGTCAGAATCACCATCAACGTCAGCGCCGTAACAATGGCTGCCAGTACACTGCACTCCGCATGCAGACGCAGTTGCACATACTTTTCACTGAACTGAATAATCATCAGCCACTTCACGCTCACACGTCTTTCCCCGGACCCTTGTGTGTACATGCATGTATATGCTTATGTATAATTCGTGTTTTCTGGGCCGGCACTTTATTTTGTAAACGCTCTAATGCCAATATTGAGATTTTATAATTTAATGTATATTTCACATTCTGTAGCCTATATTTTATATATACAGAACACATATACATATATATACATATGTGTACATATGTGTATGTGTATATATACATACAGTACATTAGTACATGAGTACATATATATAAAATAACGACACATTTCGTTGTGCACCGTGTGCTGTGGTTTGTCAACAATGATCACAGATCACCAAATTCTGCATTCTAAAAATTCTAATTCGAAATTCTATATTTTACATGCTATCTACTCATGTGCTATTGTTTTTCTTTTTCGTTTTTCATTTTTTTTGCAGCATCGGCACGAACAAAATAAGAATTTACGTATGACAATTAACTTTATTGAATCTTGAATGTAATGTAATTTAATTGGCTTTATCAAGACCTCCATCTCAAATTCCTGGTGTGAGGTACCGTAAGTTAGAAGATGGAGACAATGACATCCCGCTAATTGTGTCATTGTAGTTGAAAGAGTTGTGCTGTAGAAAAGCCATTAATGAAAAAACAGCACTTAGCATTCAGTTACTCAATTCAGTGCTTCTCAGTGGTCGCCTCGTGTTTTTGCTGCTGCACAGTGGAAAGATTTGCAGTTTGCTATCTGATCAGCAGGGGGTGCTGACGCTCCTCTCACTGAACTGTAGCGAAATTCTATCCTCCTCTGCCCGTCCTCATGTGACACCAGAAATCAGGACTATCAGTGGATAAAAATGTTAATACGTGCTGCTCTGCCAATGCGTTTCTTGTGGCACATACAGGGAGTAACAGTATATTGTTCGTTTATTTTGTATTGTCTTGTCTGCAGTTAAGTTAGCTAAATAAATTATTCATTAATTTTCATACGGTAACAGCCATACACACGCATTTTATGTCTTGTAATATTTTGTTTGTGGTATTATCATCCATTATCTGAGTGAGTAGCCGAGGTGGCGTATTTTTTAATACTGACCGATTTGAAACATTAACGCATTTTTCTGCGAAAATACAATATTCTTTTATTAAGTTTTGACTATACTTTCCATACACCTTCATAAAAGCGTCGATGTCCTGTTCAACACCTTTCCACGTAAAAGAACTGTTTATTGTGTGTTAAATTTATTAAAAGGCTAAATAGTAAAGATTTTAAGCCATGTACGATTTATAATTATAAATAAATAGTATTTGACAAATGTGTTTTAGAAGTGGCTGTTACATAAATTTTTCATGGCAGATTTTAAGGTGAGGTTTTCGTTTTCGAAATGTACAAATCTGACTTCAGTCCTTTACAGACTTCAGAGGACCATGAATGCGGACAACCGACAAGTTGTACGATTGTGATCAGCGGCAACGTTCGTGATGATGAACTAAAGACAAAGAGGATGTTTGTGGGACCGGATAAAAAGCCGTTACGACGTGTGTAGGATACCAACGGCCATAGTGTATTATCATTATTTTTTATCAAGAGTACTGTAGGTAAAATTAAGGAACTATTTCATAATTAAAAGGAGGACGCTTGGACCATCCTGGGGTGTATGAAGGAGGCTGGCTGAATTAAACACGTTACTGCACGATTAAAGGACCATTATACTATATTTCGCAAAGTAATACTGTGGGGGTACTGGGCATCGTTACAGCTCAGTAGTAATGAGGTCAAATAAGCGCAGAAAAGTGGCTTTTACTGACATTCACCTGGCCATCCGGACACAGTGGGCGCCCACACACACATTATATACAAAATGTGACATTAAACATTACACTTGGCATTATGGTACAGCACAATAACAACTGTACCTGGCGATGACGTTAAACTGCGTCATGGCCTGCAAGTGGTGGGCTGGTGGTGGGCTTGCCATTCCAGCCACCGTAAAAACTCTGACGAAGCAGACAAGACTGCTTTCTGCTCTCCACAGGAGTAGTTCTGCTGCAGCCGCCCACAGGAAGGCTGCACGCATCATGAAGGGGATGGGGGAAAGTTCTCAGGAGCCTCATCTCAGGAAGAGTCTAAAATACCAGAGAGCCAGTGGGGTCAGGCCTGTTGGGGGTCAGGCCTGTTGGGGATCGGATCTGGTGTGGTGCTGAGGCGTCACCTGCTACACAGCAGCACTCGGGTCCTAATCTGAGGCAGCCCACCCGGATGGGCGCGTGGAACGTCTTGTCTCTCTGGCATGATGACCATCTTCTTCTGCTTTCAGAGGAGCTTCATAACTTGTAACATTTCAGTGGCAGCACTCTGAGGAACGCAGACCAGAGAGTGGCCAGATCTCTGTAAGTGGGGTCTATTCGCTCTGATGGCTGCCATACTCAGTGAGTAGCTGTTGCAGTGGCGGATCACTCCTCCCGATGGTGTCCGATGTCACTCCTTTCAACGAGTGTATTATGAGACTCAGATTAAGGCACTCTTGGGGTGTCTTGTCTGTTGTCTCAGGGTATGCTTCAACCACAGTGAGTGATGTCTTGATGACATTTTATTCGCAGCTTTTCTCAGTGGTTGATGGATGCCCACGAGGTGACACTCCACTGGTCATAGGTGACTTCAGTGTGACCACTGACAGTGACAGGGCTGGCTATGAGGATTGTGTTGGTCCCCAGGGGTCTGAGAAACCGTGGGGAAATTGGCTCCATGTTCCTTGACTTTCCCAAAGGTAGATAGCAGAGTCCTGGTTCCAGTGCCCTGAGCCACTTTGTTGGACTTGGTTCTCCAGTACTGGTGGTGAGGCGAAGGAGACCGATCACATTCTCATGGGCAGACGCTAGAGGCTCCTATAGAACTGCAGGCTACATAGAAGTGGCCAGTTTGTGAATTCTGACCACAGACTTGTTTTTTGCTACTCAGAAGGTTTATCTTAGGTCCAGTCGGCTACCACCTACTCAAAGAATGAGGCTGGACTTGGTTAGGATGCAAGATCAATCTGTTTGTAATGAGTTTGCAAGCAGTCTGTGTGAAGAGTTTGTGGACTTCAGTGTGACTGTCGATTGTCATGTGATGTAGGAGGCCTTCTGTGTCAAGACCCTGAAGGTTGCTGAGAGTTGTAATGGTGTTGTTAATGTTTCCAGAAGGAGGTGCTTTAACTCGCAGGGCACCCTAGATATTATTGAAAGGAGTTGCAGTGTACGGCTTGAAGGCAATTCTGGTCTATACCTGAGGGCAGATAAGGAGGCATTAGTTAGAGTGATCTGTGAGTAAGAGACACACCATCTATGGTCTAGCGACCCACATCCTGCTTACAGAGGAATCGAAGCATTACGCACAACCCAATGTGTTCTTCTGAGAGTTGCAGTCAGGGCATGATGGAATGGTGCTTACGGATGACACGGCAGTTATGACCCACTGTGTGAGCTATTTTGAGCAGCTGTTTTAAGCTGATCCTCTAGCTAGGGAATTGGACATCTCTGGATCCACAGTTCTTGAGGCTGATCCTCTGATGAGCTGTGAACCACCCAATCTCACAGAGATTGCACAGGTGGTGAACCAGCTGAGGGGTAAGGAAGGCTGCAGTGATCTGTGGTATCAGGCTGAACTTCTCCAGGCTGGTGGTAAGGCTGTCCTCCTGGCATTGCAAGCAATCTTTGCTTCCATTTGGGAGACATGCATCATCTCAGCTTGTGAGGATTGTGGCAACTGCTCCCAATGCCAGGTAAGGTCCTTGCTAGGGTCATTCTCAATAGGATCCATGATCACCTGTTCACCTATCAGCGAGCAGAGCAGTCGGGTTTTACGCCTGAAAAGTCTACCATCAACTGCATCCTGGCCCTGAGGGTTTTTATTCAGCGCAAATGTGAATATTAGCAGAGATTCTTTTCAGCCTTTGTCGATTTTCGTAAAGTGTTCGACTCAGCTGATGCCCTGTGGGACGTAAAGAGACTTTGCAGGATCCCCCCAAAGTTGCTGGACACATGGCTGGCTTGTACAGTGCCACTGTAAGTGCTGCGCAGTGGAGGCAGAACCTCTGCGTTCTTCCCAATTGATTCCAGTGTTCATCAGGGGTGTGTTCTTGCTCCTACTCTGCTCTACACTGGGTGTTGGGTAGTGTTGCGGTGTCCAGTGGCTGTGGGGCATCTGTGGGTGAAGAAAGATTCACTGATCTTGACTGATCTTGACTTGCCAACAATCTTTGCGGAGTCAATGGAGGCTCTGGTTGGACCTTTCAAGAAACTGAGCAAGGAGTCTGAGTGTCTGGGCTTGCAAGTGTCCTGGATAAAAATCAAGATTCTGGCCTTTAATGACCTCTTGAACACAGCCATCAGCAATGTGCGTGTCTGCGGAGAGAATGTCAATCACATCGAATGATTCACTTAATTCGGCAGCAACATTCATGTCTCTGGTGACTCTTCCTGTGAAGTCAGTAGACAAA